AATTGATAATTATCCATTAAACCATTATCAATGAATTGAATATTTACATTAGCGTCATTATCTTCTCCACTTACCGTATCTGTTAAATCACTGTTGGAAGTAATTTGAATATTTTTTGGAGTGGAATCTATTGATCCAGCAGTATCTCCTTCAATGTTTGCTTGTGTATTTAATATTTGAAGAAAACCATTGGATTCGTTATCATTAGTTATTGGAACTTCTTTATTACTGAACATAGTAATTTTTGATTTTTTATCCACACTTATTACAGTGTTTAAATCAGTTGGTTCAGTATTATTAAGATCTAATTCACTGATAGAATACATTTGTTGTGCAAATCCAGTGCTTATATTTGTAGTGATAGGATAATTTTGATTATTTTCAGTTGTAGCTGATTGGATGTTTTTTTTAAATTCATATTCTGTAATTTGTTCATTTGATAGAGGCGAGGATAATTCATTATTATTCGTAATTTGTTGTGAATGTGTTCGCTACAATCAATATTAAAATTATTTTTTAGATAATATTATGAAAGTTTTTAAAAATTCAAGCATAATTCTAACATGTAAATAGTTTTTATAACGTTGATATTACATTTAATATCTATTTGTTTAATTTGATAAAATCATTATTTACCTATTATTTATTTTTTTCAGTCATATTTCTCTTTTTATTATTTTATTTATGATTTCAGAACTATAAAATATCTCCTTAGTTATCGAGAGTTTGATTTCTAAAAATGTGCTGAAATTTTTTTACAATAATATAGAATAAATAATACATTTAATTATATTATACATGTTTTTAATTTTTAAACATTTAGTATAGAGATTTGTTAAATTTAAAACTATTGTCTATCTCATTAAAAGATACTATAAAAATCAATATGTTTATTTTGTAACTATGAAATATGTTTTTTATATTAAATTGTTATTATTTAAATCTTAAACTTAAATAAAGCTGATATAAAAAATAAATTTAACTTATCTTAGGTATTTTTTTCTCTACTACGTAATTGAAATAATTTTAAACACAAATAGTATATTTAAAAAAAAAATAATAATTTACATGTTTATTTTAAATAATCAAAATTGTATAACTTACTACTGCATCAACAAATGTTAGTATACTAACTATATATTTATATGAAATTAATATCATTCTATAATATTACACAATTTCACAATACTTCAGTACGAAATATTTTGCACATATAAAATGTTTTAACAACTGATACATTCAAATTATTATTTATTAAATTATTTTTATCTATTGTTATTTTGTTCCATCAATTATATAAAGTAAAAAATAAATAATTTAAATACACAATAATATGATATGTTAATCTCGTGAAATTAAACAATTTAATATATTTACAGTATTTTTGTTAGTTTAAATAAACCGTAATTTACATCATTTAAAACATATGTTCAAATAAATGTACACGATTATTAATTATACAGATTTATTGTATTTTTAACGTGTTACCTATAGGCTTATTACAAATAAACTAAAAAAAATATTTAACTAAATACTTAGGAAATTCTATAATTTTAACCATTTTATCAATTGAATAATATTCATATATAATTAATAACTGATACACACAAATTGTTATTAATTAAACTATTTTTATTTCTATTGTTATTTTGTTATAATAAGCCTACAATAGTTATTTTCATGATATATAACTAATTCGTTTAATTTTTACAAAAAATAAAACTTTAAAGTCGTACTAATTAATTTTTGAATATTATTCAATACTGAAAGCGTGTTATAACAAAGTGTTGCGTGCCAATATCAGATCCAAGTTCAGAGTGTTATTTTAAATGAAAATTACAACTTGTAAAAACAATAATGTGTTTATTACGTATAAATAAAGTTCATGTAACTGATACAAAAAGTGGCTGATTGTCGTGAAGGTGCTCAGGTCTCTGTGGCTCTGGTACATCTGCCATTGTTGATCTCCTGGTTCCCTTATATATAAAAAAGCTTCTTGTTATTGTAGTCCATAGCCTTGAATCCTCGGAGTGGTTTTGATACTTGTTTTTGGTAAAAACAATCTCCAGGATGCAATTTGATTCTAATTGCCAACACGTACCAATGCAATGTTTTGTTGCATACGAGTAACCTAAATAATGCATTTCACTCGATCTCGGCACGCGTAATGCACTATTGCGATGTTTATTATGATGTTGTTGAGAATTAGATAATTACACCAGAAAATGCATTCTAATCCTAATGCAACGAGATTCTTAATAATATGTATCTACTATCTTGTGTCATGATCATTAATAATATGTTTAACTCCCCGACACGTTTCATGGTCATGCTAATACTTATATTAGCAATATTATATATTATGTCATATATACTTATATTTAACAATATATCTCGTAGCCCATAACAAAAACAACTTTTGGGAAGTCGAATTATATATAATTACGCTTTGTGAAATTTATAAATTACAAATACTAGTATAATACACATTTAGTTATTCGATGTAAAAACAAAATTAAGAATTTTAAAAAATCAAAATTATTTAAAAGGTATTTAATATGATTATGTAACTATTCTTGAAATCGAAAAATTAGTAGTACCATCTGGAAGTAATTTTATTGTATACAATGAACAATTACATTTATGCATTGCAACAGTCATAAAAAACTCAACTCTTAACATTTCTTGAGGTTAATTAATGAATATTATTGGTTTGCAAAATTCTAAGCATTTTATATTTAAGAAGCCGAGAGTGGGCAGTTTATTAATAAATATTTTTTAAATATTTATATCGTTTTTTCAAAAAAATTTACCTCACAAAAAAAAAATCACACTTAAATAATTTAAGGAACTGATGCAAATTAAATTGCATAAAGTTGTATAGTAATAAATGTTCCTCTATGCCCATATTTTTAATAAAAAATCTAATATTTGATTTAATTATAGTTTATGTAATTCTTCTATTCAGCATATAACTAATATCCAGTGACTTTTCGATTCAAAATTAATATTTAATGACCATACTTCTAAAACTATAAATAAAACATCACCAAAAAATAGGCTTTTTAAAACATTGTTATTCTAAATTTACAATTTTATTGTTTTAAATGTTATAAACAATTGAAATATACTACTATTATTTAGGCTAATAGCTTCATAATTCTAACTCAAAATATATCTATACAAAAATATTTTTAAATATTTTATCCTTTAAATGTTGATTTAACAACTCCTAATATGAGATCCAATATGAAATTTTATATTTAATATTTATATAATCATTTATTTTATGTCTTATAATATATTCAACTGAAAACTGTTATAAAATGTTTATATTGTAAATGTAGCTTTCCATGTAAAAAATATTGTATTAACGTAGAATAAAAAAAAAAAAAACATAAAATTAAAATATGCTAAAACAAGGACTAAGTCTTGAATAGTAGAGCCAGATCTGGGGAATTCTTCCCTATACTTATAAATTCTGGAGAATATAGCTGCCTGCCGGATATAAATATTAAATTTACGCTATTAACTTCTTCGTGTTCTTCGGAGGGCCTTGAAGGTTGTGTTTGAGAACTTGATAAAGTAAACCGCAGTATAAAATTGATATATAAACAATAATATAATATTAAGTATATTATAATCACGCACCTTGCCATATTGCAGCTGTATATATATTTTTCTATAGTTTAATGACTAATGAGGTAACACAAATTATAACAACTCTAAGCACAAGAATCTAAATAAATCAACATTGATATACCTCGTTAAAAAAGAGGCGCAGAAGTCGCTCCAAGATCTGGTTTTTCTGATATGGCTGATGCGCATACACTGGTGAAAAATGATACAGTCATGCTAACCAGTGTGGCTAACGGCTTCATCAAAGGTCTCTGCGTTTCCAAGAAACTAGATTTTTCCCTAGCGGCTGAGACATAATTCGGCCATTCCGTAACTATGGTAGTAAACGAGAAAATCGCGCATCTTGCTTTCCGATTTCACAAAAATGTGCCAGTTTCAATGTGACCTTAAAATGTGAATCGTCCTTTTATTAAAGGTAAATTATTTATGTTGAAAATACTCGCTATCTTTAAGTAAGAACCTGTTCATTATTTATTAATTATGTTAAAACTGATATACAATGATATGAATACATATCATTTCACTGTATAAGACTTGATAAAATACTTGTATATACAGATGAAAAGACGAACATAACTCATTTAACAAATAAATACATAAAAACATTCAAAACATACATGACCCATAGATTTAACGTTAATATTTAACTATTATACGAATTAATAAAATAACATAAAATAAAAATGTGGAATAAGTAAAGATAAAACAAACCAATACTAATTTTTTCAAAATTTTAGTTTATTATATTATTAACAAAAATATATATTGAACCAAAATTTACTATATATGCATTAAAATAAATATAAACTACAATTTTAAAATTATCCCTATTTATTTTATTCAACGTCAAGCAATAAAAAGAATTTACAAAATCAAATACATAGTATAATAATTAAATACATTTATTAATTCAATTGTTTTTAAAAATATACATTTAATTTGAATAAAAATTTATAAATAATTTTGATAATTGAAATGTAATAACTATAACAGTAAAAAAAAAAACTATCTATTTATTATAATAAGAATAGAAAAAAAAATAAATAAATTGTAAGTTTATAAAATTAAAATATATAAAATAAGTAGGTAAGAAAACGAGAAAGAAAAATACCAAAAGTTCCATTAAATATGATGTGAAAAGACAAACTTAAGTTACACAGACAAAACTCATAATGAAAAAAGAAAAATATATAAATGTAAATATATATATAAATATATAAATCAAAATAATTTAGTTAAAGAAAGTAAAAAAAGAAAAACGAATATAATATAAAGTGCTATTAAAATTAAGAAATAAAATAAAAAAAAAAAAAAAATTGAAATCAAAATTTATAACATGATATTATATTCATGTTGAATAGGAATGAATTTGTATTGTGATTTCATAACTAAAATCTGTTGACCTATTCACATGAGAAAAAACAGAAAAATTGGTAAATGTATCAACTTAATTAATTTCAATATAAATGATATCATTATCTATGGTGGATATTATGTTTAGAGTAACAAAGTCATTAGGCTCAAGGCCATTTGATAATAACATTGATTTAAAAGTACTCATTTGTGAAATAATTTGATGAGTATTGCCTGCTAATGTAACGTCTTAAAAAAAACCAGATGATTATGTTGAGATGCAACTCAATTAATTTCAACTAGTTCATTCTCAAATTTATACCAGACGTTATGTCTGCATTATCAAATTCATCTGACGCTTGATCGGTTTTAATTTTCGTTGACTTAAATGACTTCGATACTACCGTACTTTGATAAACATTCTCGTCTGAGTTATCTACTTCAAAAGAGCCAAATGGTTTTGGTGATATATCATCTCCATTGATTATAAATAATTGATTATCGACATTTGTTTTTGACATTATATCTGTATTATCATTTTCATCCGATCCAAGTTCGGCTTTAATTGTCGTTGACTTATATGAATTAGATTCTACCAAGCTTTGATAAGTTTTCTCTTCTGAGGAATCATTGTCTAAATAGCCAAGTGATTTTGAAGAGATTTTATCTCCATTCATTATAACTATATTATCATCGCCTTTTGTTTTTGACATTATATCAGTATCATCATTTTCGTCCGAATCTACATCTGTTTTAATTATCGTTGACTTATATGATTTAGATTCTACCGTGCTTTGATAAGTTTTCTCGTCTGAGGAATCTATTGCAGGAGAGCCAGGTGACTTAGGTAAGCTTTTATCTCCATTCATTATAACTAATTTTTTATCGCCTTTTGTTTTTGACATTAAATCAGTGTTATCATTTTCGTCCGAATCTACATCTGAATTCGCTGGCTCTCTGCAATAGATTCTCCAGACGAGAAAACTTATCAAAGCCGGTAGAATCTACATATAAGTCAACGATAATTA